GTATGTATGTACGTGTACGTGTATGTGTACGTGGACGTGGACGTGTACTTGCACGTGTACGTATGTGTATGTGTATGTGTATGTGTATGTGTATGTGTATGTGTATGTGTATGTGTATGTGTATGTGTATGTGATGTGTATATGTATGTGTATATGTATATCTATATATATATATATCTCTCTCTCTCTCTCTGTATGTGTACATGTGTCTACGTCTGAATCGCAGCAAACAGTAACAATCAGTAATACGCATCAGAACAGTAGTTCAGCGGCTACGCTGACGGTGCATGGCTGTTTCTTTGGATTGCTTTCTGAAGCTTTGCAGGGTCTTGAAAGGGTCCAGAAGGCTACGTGTGGCTCAATGCTGGGGAGCTCCCCTGGGGTTTCTTGTGCTACCCTAAACCCTAACCCTAAACCCCTACACCCTAAACCCTAAACTGCTACTCAAGCTGGCACGAGTGTACTGCGATCATTTGAGGGTTTTCAAAGCCTTTTCGGGCTTACGGTGCGAGGCCTTGGGGGCTTTCGTCTTATTGGTGGCGGGCCCCTGGGACCCTAAACCTTTAGGGTTCAGGGTCAGGGTTTAGGGTTTAGGGGCTTTGGGAGCGTAGGGCACCTAGAAACTCATCAGCTTAGGACTTGCCTTCTCAGCTGCCTAGGCCTTGGGGGGGCAAAGCCCTAGCCCTAGCTTCTCTCAGACCGTCACTTCTTCGGACTTGGGGTTGGGAAGCGAACATAATTTACTGAAGGGGCCAGAAGAATTAGAACAGGTTTAAGGGAACTATACAGCCCTATAAAACCCTATAGAACGCTTAGAAAACCCTAAGCCCTAAGGTCCTTAATTAAGGGAAAGGGCTCCTTTTACTGAATCGACAAAAAAAACCACAAGCCAGAGCCGGATAAACGTCGAAGTTCTTGAAGGGGAATAGCTCTGCGTTTGGAGGCGCCAAGAGATACCTAAGGGGTTTAGGGTTTAGGGTTTAGGGTTTTAGGGCTTAGGGTTTTAGGGTTTTAGGGTTTAGGGTTTAGGGTTTAGGGTTTAGGGTTTAGGTTTAGGGTGAAGGTCGGGGCATCCCCTACTCCCCGCAGTTTTGGATCCCGGGTCTTTGGCCACGTGCCTGATCGGGCATGCGCCGCGGCAGCACCAGCACGGATGGATAGGAGCTACCTGAACTTGGGCTCTGGAGGATTGCTCCCTAAACCCTAAACCCTAAACCCCGAAACCCCAAACCCTAAGCCCTGAACCCTAAAGCCTAAACCTTAAACCCTAAACCCTAAGCCCTTAAACCCTAAACCCTTTAAAGGTTCAACAGGGTTGCGGATGCAAGGTGCAGGATGCAAGGTTGGGACTTGAAGGCCTCAGAGGTAAGGTTTCAGGGGCTACCACTGCCACGTCTGCTACGACCAGGCTAGCCATGGAGGTTCCATGGGTAGTTATACGTGGGGTTGTGGGGTTCCTTTCAGGGTTCCTTTAAAGGGTTCTACAGGGTTTTTGGGGTTTGGGGTTTAGGGGTAGTTGTAGGTGGGGTTAGAAGTAGGGTAACTATAGCTATAACCCATATTAAGGATAGTTGTAACCCATATTCAGGGACTTAAACCACTTACAACCCACTTATAACTACGTACCCCTGAATCTCCAAGTAGTCAGTAAATACTATTTTGGGTGTTTCTTTTTTTTTCTAATTGTGTAATATACCCCAAAGCCCTATTCCCTCCAAGTAGCCATGGATCTGTGGCTTTCGGACGGGGGCGTGCCGGAAGTGCCGGGGTCGGCGCTCCGAGACCGTCAGGCCTTCGAACCTTCCATGAAACCTTTGATAAAACCCTTCAGACCCCAAGCCTTAAAACCCTAAAACCCTAAGCCCTAAACCCTACAAACCCTTAAGCCTTAAACCCTAAACCCCCGGCCTAAGACCCTAAAACCTTAAAACCCTAAAGCCTAAAGCCCTAAACCCTAAAGCCTACACCCATATTTCGGGTTTAGGGCTTAGGGTTTCGGGCCTTTGAAACAGACGAAGCGTCAGAGCCGGTAGTGGCGGTTCAGCTCCGAGACCCGCCAGGGACACCTGGGCTTCGGTGCTCCCGAAGGACAGGCCTTCATGCATGGGGTTTAGGGCTTAGGGTTTCTATCAAGGTTTAGGGTTTGAGGTTTCTATAAAGGTTTAGGGCTTAGGGTTTCTATAAAGGTTTAGGACTTAGGGTTTAGGCTCAGGTTTAGGGTTTAGGGTTCAGGGTTTCTATAAAGGTTCAAACGACACTTTATGAAGGGGTGTCAAGGGTTTTTGCATGGGTTTTACAAAGGTGGTATGAAGGGCTCTATGAAGTGTTCGGTATAAACAAAAATATTTTCGGGTTTGGGGAGAGGTTTACCGGTTTATGGGCCTGCTTAGGAAGCCATATTGACTTGCCCTGTAGAATAAAAAGCCGAAAGCTTCGTGAAGTCCGGCCGCTGCGGGTTCGGAATGAGCTCGGTGTCGATGCCCATGCGAGCGAAGTCCTCCGAAGGATGCTGAAACCCAACAGGAGGCGAAAACGCAAGGGTTCGAGAGCTTCGGGTTTAGGGTTTGGGGGGTCTCTGTGATTGAAAGAGTTGAGGGTGTTGGCTGTTGGCTGATGGCCTATGGCTCCTGGTGCACTCTAGAGGCCTGAATAATTCTAACATCATTCCTCAGGGCTCGTATCATTAGCTTAACCTTGCTTAGGGTTTAGGCTGAATACAAGAGACCCCAAGAGCCTATTCCAATTCTTCGCCTCGGCCCTTGCCGAAGCGGTCCTGAGATTCCCTCTTTCCCCTGCAAGAACCCCTTTCCTCTTTTCTTAATCCCCTCTCCAATCACCCACCACACCTTTAGGGCTCACTGTTTCTTCGCGGAATCTGCGCCATGATTCTTCTGATTGACTCCTTTTCTCGAAGTCCTGAAACCCCGAGACCAACAGAACCTCCAACCCTGAAAACTCAACCTTCAAACGCGTCCTGGATGGGGTCATAGAAACACCACCCGCTGTCGGGCACCTGTCGCAGGACATGTGTCATTGTACGGGTCGCTTTATTGACTTTATTGGGTACTACCAGGGTTACTATATGGGAGGGTTACTATAGTGCGGGCAAAATGGTGACAAAAAAATCCTAAACCCTACACTCCGAACCCTAAACGCTAAAATATGGGTTACTGTGATGTTGACTGGAAGAGATACTGGGGAAACCCTAAACCCCTAAACCCTAAACCCTAAACCCTAAACCGTGGGGTGGATCAGGGCTCAAGGGTTTAGGGTTGAGGGTGTCGGTTGCCGGCTCCGGGCCCGGAAGTTACCAAACGCGAAAGAAACCTTTGTTTAGGGCTTAGGGTTTAGG